TGCTATTTGCGGTTTTTCACAAAACCCCTCAAAACTTTTCAAAAAAATCAAAAAACCCCCAAAACTGCAAATAGCAAAAAAAAAAAATTTAAAAAATACGAAATCAAGCTTGAAGAAGGGTTGAGCTTCGATTTTTTGATGTAATTTCGACTCTTTTATGTGTAATATGCATTGGGTAGGTCGATTACAGAACCAATTTCATGTTAAAAACCCTACAAATCGATTCGCAAAAAAATTGTTTGCACTGGACGCCCAACTCGGGCGCCCAAATGCAGCTTGCACGCCCAACTTGGGCGTGCACTGCATGAATGGGCGCCCAAGTTGGGCTTTTACGCGTTTTGGGGGGATTTTTGGATTTTTTTGGAAAGTTTAGGGGTTTTAGAGAGATAAATTGTTTTTTGTTATAAACCGCAAATAGCAATTTTCAAACAGCAAATAGCAATTCCCTATATATATTTATTGTGAATATATAATTAATTTGAAAATTTTACAAAAATCGATAAGATCTTAATAAAAATTCTACTTGTATATATTTGTATTCATGTGACTTAAATGGATCCACATCATTGAATTATAAACAAAATTATAAATAAATAAATAAATAGTACACAACATGCCTGCTACATAATCTGCTAAAAATGGTACAAATAATTTATGATGTCGCATGCGATGACGTTTAATTTGTCATCGACGTACTTAATTTTGATTGCTCAGAACATATATTAAGATAATCAAAAAGTAATTCGGACCGACAAGCATCAGTCAATTAAATAAATTTATTACTATGAATTTCAAATGTGTAATTTATTTATTTTTTTTAGTTATGTAATATGCAGCCAACTATATAGGTGAACTGTGTAACAATAATAACTTGCAAATCATACGAAATACGTAAACCACACTAGGATAACCATATGTGACAAACTCGACCTAAGAACCGCTAACAATAAGGTTCGAAGTTGGATCAATTGACACATGCTCACTTGCTTCAACTGATCATATTTATGGAACGACCGTATTCATTTTGTTCAATGTAGCGATTATTCACACGAATTAGTGAAGAATATTATTTTTGTTTTTTAATGTCGAAAAAATTATTATTATTATTATTATTATTAACAAAAAAAAGGGTTTTATTCAACACGTGAAATATTGAAATCTTCAATCCATGGCCCAACTTAAGAAAATTGAACATTTTATAGCAATAAAACATGATCGATTTCGGGCCGATTATGGGCTTCCACTAAGAATCCACATATCAATTTTGGGCCCGGAACTAGGCCGAACCAATTGACATTGGGAATTGGTCAACGGCAAAGGTAAAATATTAAACCATGTTCCATAATTAATTGGTCTTTGAGATGCTACATATGATGGAATATACAAGGTAATTATTAATCGTGTGAAATAATTTCACTAAACACATACACATGGGTGTGTGTGTGTGATTGTGTACAAATCAACGGCTAATAATCACCCAGTGTATTACATAGGGTGTAGCATCAAACAAACCTAATTAATTCATCATATTATATGAAGTAGAAAGAATCAAGAAACTACGGAAAAAATATTATTCGGGCGCGTCCCTCAGTTTCCGCAACCGTCTTTCTTGTCGAGCGGCGCCTCGTCGTTCCGACCAAAACCCACTAGTCATCGACGATGTTGTCGCCATGCTTATGAAAATAAATTTATTAATAAATGAACGAGTAATACATTATATTTTAATTAATTAATAGCGGAAAATACTATAACATGTGTCTAAAAATATATGGTGGTTGATGTAACTATCAAGTCTTTGTCCTTCATTATAACGAATATGACCTAGTAAAATTCATCCAAAGTGGTTAGGAGTATTAAATATATATATATAAAATATTATCATAAAAAATATGCATACTTAGGACAAAATAATTAATATTTAAACATGTTAAATGATCTTATAATTAATGATCATTACTTACAACAATACATACAACTAAAGAAATACGAATGCGCAAGGGATGACCTAGTGGTTCGTACAAAACGTTTCGTAATACAAATCAGCGTAATTGCATTAAAAACTTTTGGATGTCTTGGAAAATAAGAAAATTCGTTATTACAACATAAATTATTTCATTTAATATGCAACTGTTCCTTGTCTAAATGATGTGTCTAACTAATAACTGCAAATTTACATATGAGTCAAATATATTTATTTTGTATTTTTCCTTTGGGGGTATATATATTAGCAGTACTATTACACTATATATAGCTTTGTATACTCATATAAAATTTAGGTCAAGAAATTTATATGTAAAGAAGCCATGGAAGTCAACCACCTCTTCTTCCATTTTTTCTTCTTCTTCTCCTTCTTCACCATTTGCGCATCTGTAAGTTTTTCTTTCTACTGTTAATTTTAATCACTGATCTGCACATAATCACACAATTATCATATGTATATATACTTTGCCGATTGTAATCTAACTCAGGGTTGGCCAAATTACGGCCACTCCCTGAGTTATGGTCAAATTACGAACCCCCTCATGTTTCGATAATTACAGCCACCCCCATCAACTATGTATTATTTTACGAAAATACACATCTAGAGGTAAATTTAGGAATGTTAAATCGGTAAAACCGAACCGAAATTTCGGTACGCCAACATTTTGTATCGTTTGCCGAACTGAATATACGATTTAGATCAGTAAATAACCGAATTACATAAATTTTATATAAAAATATTTAAAAGGAGGGGGTGGCTGTAATTACCCAAACAAAAAGGAGTTTTTTCGTAATTTGGCCATACATCAGGGTAGCCGTAATTTGCCCATTTTTATTTAAAAAATAGATTTTTCTAGACCGCCCCCCATTTTACTGTAAATATGAGTTTCACCCCGATTTTTTTCTTGATCTTCTCCATAATCTTATGTGTAAATTATATATTACTTTTATATTTAATATTACACCATAAAATAAAATGGTCAAAACTTATACTATTTTTTTTTTAAATAAAATCTATATATACATACTTATTTTTGTATGTTTTTTTTATCAATAGCTATATACAAAATAGGGTGCGACACCCCTGAACCCCCAAAAATATTATGTGCAATATATTAGTTTTTTCTTTATTTTTTATTTTTTTTGCATGCTTGAAATACAACATAGTTATAATAGATGTTTTTAATTAAAATTAATGAATATAAATCTATTTATACTATTGAGTTAATGTAAGTAACTTAATTTTTTTTTTTTTTTTTTTTTTTTATTAAGTAACTTAAATTTATTTATTGATACAAAAAATACTTATCATAAAGAATTTGAGGGAAATTAAAATAGGTAAATATTATTAATATAAAAATGCAGAAGGATCCGGATTGTGTGTACACGGTGTACGTAAGAACCAGCAATAAAATAAAAGGTGGGACCGACTCAATCATTAGCTTAACTCTCTACGATGAAAACAACAACTGGGTCATGATTGACAATCTGGAGTCATGGGGCGGGTTAATGGGACCCGGATCCGACTACTTCGAGAGGGGCAATTTGGACATTTTCAGCGGGCGGGGCCCGTGTTTGTACGGCCCGGTTTGTGCAATGAACCTCACATCTGACGGGTCGGGTTTCGGTCATGGGTGGTATTGTAATTATGTGGAGGTGACTACTGCTGGGGTCCACAAGGCGTGCACGCAGCAGAAGTTCAATGTGGAGCAGTGGTTGGCTACTGATACGTCGCCGTATCAGCTTACTGCGATTAGGAACTATTGTTCGTCGGATGATTATGGGGAATTTATCAACGGTTCAGATTTGTCAGTGGGTTCTGTGTTGTAAATATTACTAATTAATAGTCTCGTACATTTAATAAGTTATTAATTAATAAATAATTAAATAACTAATTTCTCGATTATTTAATAGTGCACCATATTTATAGAATTCCATCAATCCCCATATTTTAATTTAGGCAAATTATGACCATCCCTGAGCTATGGTCAAATTATGAAGAGAACCCCTCTTATTTGGGTAATTACAATCAGCCCCTCTTTGAAAATAATTTTACATAAATTTATGTAATTCGGTTATTTACCAAACCAACTCATATATTCAATTCGGTACGCGGTATGAAATGTTGGCGTACCGAAATTTCGTTTCGGTTTTTATCGATTTAATATCCCTGAATTTACCTCTGGAGGAGATGGCCGTAATATACCCAAACACGAGGGGGTTTTCGTAATTTGAGCATAATTCAAGGGGTGGCCGTAATTTGCTCATTAATTTATACAAATTTAACCGTCGACTTTCCTTTTTGTATAGATTACTTCGTTTTGAATTTTTACCATGATTGCCAAAAAACGAACGTAATACGATACGATCCGAACCGTAATACAGTATATCGACACTATAAACAAATGTTAACTCCTATTAAGGCCTCCATTTTCATTCAAGTAGTAAGAAAGTTGTGGTTGCTTTCAACCGCCGGCCAGCTAGGAGGCGGCGGTAGATGGAAGAGCTTCCAATTTCCGGCCGGGAAATGGAAACCGACAAATATATGATTAAGCTCTCTAACAAATCATACTTTATCTCCTTGAATTTCTTTAATCCTTTTCTTACAAAATGAAGAGAGCTGCAAAAATGAGTTTACATTAGGGGAGTTAATTAATTATAACCCTCATCGGCGTTGTTGTAATTTTGTTTTTGCCTCGTCCGAAATCTTCGCCGCCTCTTCGTCTTCCGGATTTTCTCGTAGCAACACTTCACAATCTTGTAAACATGCTCCCCAGTTTCCCATCTACCACCACAACAAGAATAAAATTATGTTATTATTGCACAATTGATCAAATTCGAGAGTCGAGAAATAAGCGGTGGATGCTAAATCGTCTCTGTACCGGTCAAATATACACTAAAATTCTCTATTATGCCAAAAATACTACGCTACTCGCTCGAAAAATAACAATGTTTTTTTTGTCTAATATACTAAATTTTATGGCTCCCACTGGTCATATGTATAACGGGCACAAGGCTATTGTTGAGGGAACAAGTCCGTGACATACTGCTAAGCTTAGTAAACGCGACAATCGCAATATCTTTAATCACATTATCGAACCATATGGAAATTAATAAAGAATAATATTCAAGATTTATAATCACCTTAGAATAACAATCGGCTCGTCTTAACCGGGCTTTACTATAAGCAGGACGGACATTAAGTGCAGCATTGCAATCCACTATTGCTTTCTCGTATTCGTTAAGTTTCGACATGCAAGCAGCCCTATTGCACAACAAAATCGCATTATACGGATCGTGATTGAGCCCTTCTCCGTAAGCAACGCACGCGTCGGAATATCTTGCCGCCTTAAAAAGATCGTTGCCTTTTGATCTCGATGTAGCAACAGCCCTCGTTTTCCTTAAAACCGTATTAGCTTCTTTGTTGTTGGAATCGAGCCTAGATGCACGTTGAGCTGCCGCCACAGCATCATCGAACCTATTTATTTTTAAATCGAGCCACTATATTAGGCCATTATTTCATTTTTTTTTCCATTTTTTTTAGTCAAGTACATTTCACTTGAAAAAACGGTAGTAAAAGATAAAACTCTAACCTCCCGTTAGCCATGTCGATTTGAGCTCTAACGAGTATTAGGGTTGCACTTCCGATGGGACCGAAGAATTTCGTGCATTCGTCGAGGTCGAAATTCGGGCCGTTTGCTATGGTTTGAATCGCTTCTTGGTGCCGATCGAGCTTCAATAAGGCCTCAGCTTTCAAAGCAAAGATCTTCATCAAGATAAAAAACCATGTTTTACTATATATAACAGTATGAAAATAAGGTTAATTGTACATAGAATTAAAAAAATTAAATAAATAAATTGGTAATTAATTACCAATGGTGCAGAATCAGCACCAGCTGATATGGATAGCCCTGATTCCTTAACCAATGTGTTCAAATCTTGTTGTCTCTTTGCATCTGTGCATTTATTTAAATGGAATTGGACTTTTTTAGCCTTGTTTATAGCATCTGGATCAGCTTCGACTCCGGCCTGTTTGAAATGATATACGGCTTTTTCGGGTTCTCCTAATCTAATTATAAAAAATAAAAAATTAAAAAAAAATAAAAAATCAAGAAATTAGTGAAGATTAAGAAAAAATGGAAGGGCAAAAATTCAAGAATGATAAGTTTTTTGAATTTTTTTAGAGTTTATTGCATTTAGTGTCCTTGTATTATACAAAGTTTCTAAAAAAAACCCTCTTGTTATACATATTAGCAAAATAACCCCATTATGCATTTTTTCAGCACACAGGCCCCTAAATGGTGTGTTTTTAAGGGGAAGTTTGTTAATAAAATTGAATTATAGGGAGGATTCTGCTAATATTTATAACACTGAGGTTCTTTTGACAATCAGAGTAAACACAGGGTGCTGAATGCAACAAAAATCGAAAATTTCAAGATTCTTGCAACTAGTATATTACCTTACATAAAGAGTTGCCAATCTATTATGAGCCCGTTGGTAAAACGGGTCGATCCGGATCGCTTCTCGGCACTCGAACGCCGCTTCTAGAAGCTGGCCAAGCGCCGTCAGTGCCGCGCTTTTGTTGCTCCGGTACGACGCCTTGTTCGGGTCTATTGAAATCGCCGCATCGTACAAAGCCAATGCTTCCGCAAATCTACCGTTCTTGTAGTCCTCGTTCCCCAAAATCTTCAGCTGCTCGGGGTCCATTCTAGTCGATACAGCCCGGCATAGAGAAACGGGCTTTTCGGGCCCCACTCCATTTTTTTCCTCCCGCTTCGCCGTCACATTATTAATATTATTATTATTATTATTATTATTATTATTATTATTCCCCGTCGGATAATAATTAATATTCTCGTTTTCGTTATTATTATTATTAATATTACCCTGCCTCAAGTTCCCTAAATCGCCGAACAACATCACATTGCTCGAGGAAGCCCTCACCAACGAGCCCGCGCCATTCGACTTCTGGTGATCTGCGATCATGGTCTCGAGCTCGCCAGAGATTCCGAGCCCGGCCCGAGGAATATTCCGGGCCGGGCCAGGAATATTCCCCGGGCCCGTTTCTTTTTTAGCCCGCGCATTTATCGGGGTTTGATGTTGTTGTTGCTGTTGTTGTTGTTGGTGGTGGTGGTAGACGGGCGGCGATTTGGAGTAGTTTTGGCCGGGTCGAGAAATGATTCTGTCGGCATGTTTTGGGTCGTTATCGAGGTTTGTGAATTCGTTGTTTTCGTTGTGGGTTTTGTTTTTAGGGTTGGGTGTTGGAAGAGAAGAAGAAGAGTGTAATCTTCTTGGCCATATACTTCTGCCTCCGAAAACTGCGCTTAATATCCCACACCCCGATTTTCTCTCCGGAGAAACGTCTCCCATAACAGATCGTTCGATCAGCTTCTTCTTCTTCTTCTTTTTTGATTCACCCTATTTTCGATTTTTGTATTAATGGCTCAATTGTTCGTGAAGAATAAGGAATCACGCATGCATGCATGCAGACACATTTGCCGGGCGATCACTTTTTCTTGCTTCGTCTCCTTTTTGTCTGAAAATTGTAGGTTTTTTACTTTTGTTCTAATGTGAATTTGGAATTCATCGATTTTTTTTTTCTTTATTTTTTTTTCTTGATTCTCTTTGATTTTGTTGGAACATCCGAAGAATTCGCGGGAGTAAAAAAGAAATATTAATATATCTCCTTTTTTCGTTGTTTGTGTGGAGGGAAAACAGACGAAGGTTACCTAAGAAATCAGGCCCTCAGGATATCTCACGAATTAGAGGGGAGTTCAAATATTGTGAATTTACAATAATGTCCTTCACTGGTCGAATTAAGGAATCAAGGGCTCAACCAAAACCCGAGCTCGAACTCAAATTTCTTGATGGCAAATTAAAAAATAAAAAATATATATACATTTTTCAGTGTCAAAATTCGTTATCATAAGTTTTATTTATTTCTTAATTAAATAATAACACTAAAGAATTAATTATCCATGCGTTCAAAAATGCACTCACTATAAACGAATCGGTTTGGATCATAAATTACACGAAAGAATTACATTAATCGAGGGTGCAAAATTTCAATAGGTCATCGAAGTCAAGGAGGGCTCGATCAAGCTCATCGCCTTGAAGAATTGAGATACGGACCAAATTGTCCTCATGGGGTTTCCTAATCAATTATTGGACCGTGGATTGAGTTTTCACTTGTATTTGGCCCAAAGCCATATCAGGCCCAAGAAGAGGAGTTAGGGCAAGCTTGCTTATCTCTTGCCCATCAAGTATCCTCAACTATAAATAGGGAGTGACTCTCAACTTATTACTCTTATGCTCTCTCTTACATATCACACTCAATTATCTTTCGATAAACACTGACTTGATCGTCGGAGCTTCTACGCCGGGAAACCCCTCCCGGCGTTGCAGGTACTCCTCCGGCGGAACTTCCGGCGAGCTATCATCAAAATATCGTCCAAGGGAGACGGGTCGTCATCTCAACTATTTTGGAGCAAATCAAGTGGCGCCGTCTGTGGGAAAGATCAGACGAGCTAAGACGTGAGAATGATTTGATTTTAGAGTTTTCTTCACGATGTTGAAGATGATGAGCTGCCCTAGATGGCAAATCTAAAAAAAAATCGAAGAAGATCGATTCATAGGATTTCTTGGGGAATCTTTAACTGGAACCAGGAAAACGGCTCAAATCTTGAGTTGGTGTCCCAGATTTGATGAATCAATGGAATTACAAAGAGGTGGAGAATCTGGAAAGGAAAGTAGATTCTCGAGGTAAACAACATGAAGCAAGTTCAGATCCCGAATCATGAGCTCGGCAAATCAGGACGAGAAAAGAAAAGAGAGAAGAATCGGACAACGACCCCATCTCACTGCTCACCAACCCATGCCACCGAGCCAAGTATCGTCGACCTCGTTTGTCGAGATCAATCTCGTAAACCACCACATGTGAGAAGATTGAGATCGAGAAGAATCGGCAAGACAAGGGGAAAATTCCGAAGTACCCTTGTCCCCTCGTATGATTTTGCGTAAATCTATAGACTCACTCGCAAGCTGTTCGATACAAGGCCCCAAAGAGCACACTATGGGCTGAACACTTCGCCCATCGGACTGCGGTTGCACAAGATATTTTACGACCTGGTCAACTTCTAAGGCTGGAAGCGAGCTCCATTTTTGTCTTGAAGCTGTTTGATAAGAGGTCTCAGATAATACGTCGGTGCTACAAATTGAGCTCGAGTTTTGAGGTAATCATTGACGGGATCCGGGATTTACTTAGCAGGATATTGTACCCCCAGAATTAAGAAATGTTATCGAGGCAGTCTTTTATTCAGCGAACTCCGAGAATGTAGATTGCGAACCTCTAACTTCGTATTTCGATTAGCCACTGTCGGCAATGCATTGGTGCGGTACAATGCGAGGAAAATCATGTGAAATGGAGATGGACAGTAGAAGAAAGAAGAGGCCGAGCAAAGTTCGTTTGAGTGACCACTACGGCCCTCACCAGATGATGTCGCGAACTAATTTAAACTCACTACCAGCGTTGTGAGAAATGATAAAGATGGATTTCACAGATCTGGAGAGAAATGTCGAGTTAAGATCTTTGATCTTATCAATCGGCAAAAAGGATATGAGCTAAGATCGAGGAGAGATCAACCACAACCTATCTTCGGGGTCTTCCTCAATCAAGGCTCTGTTCTGGAGCATCGAACATGAGAATTCGCTCGATTCATTCTATACTTTTGGAGCTGTATCAGTCATTCTCTTAAATTCCTATCATCACGAGGAACTTGTTTGCTAAAATGCCCCAAAGAACAAACTATTGATTAGGCACTTTGGCGGCCTCGCCCAAGGCCCACGTCATCACCTCACCCTCACATGACTCGTACATTGGCCCAAGTCATTTGGTATCGGAACGAAGAGAAAGTTCATTCTTAGAATCAATATTCTGAGCTGCTTCGATGCACACAAGTGTTTTGGAATTGTACGTGTGAGTTTGTTCGAAGACAAATCTAAGTCTTGGATCTTTTGATACTTGCCAAGATTCTTCGGGATAGTTCTGGTGAAATTGTTCATCCAAAGACCGAGAGTTCCCAACTCGGAATAATCATATATAAAGTCCGGTATCGAGTCGTGCAATCTGTTCATGAACAGTTTGAGAAGCTTGACTTGCTTGAGGTTTACGAATTCATATGTGATACGGGCCATTCTGACCGAGGTAAACAAATACGAACTAGGAAGAACCGATTTACTACCGCAAGAAAAGATACCGAACTATGATCTCTAAATGACGACCTAAGACTTCGGAATACCGTGGTTCGTAGTCAATGTTGAGAATAACCGAAGTACAATGAAGAAGAGGTGTATCCGTCGAAGAACTCTTTCGGGCCTTGAAGGCGAAGAAAGCCTCACGGACCAAATCAATATGGCATTTCTTCCGTTAATGCATTGACAGAAAGATTGAGATTTACGAGGGATTCGACCGTGGAAATAGTTTTCTCTCAATTCCAACTACTTGAGATTCCTCAAACTCAGCAAACCAGTCTGCAGATAAGCAGAGAAGTTATTGTTGTCGAATCGAGCACTTGCAGACTGCCGAGGCTCGAGTAATTCCAATCCAAGTTCCTGTTGAACTGGTTATTTGACATGTTGGCAAGCGAAAGGCTGCTCATATTTTCTATCTAGATTTCGCATGTGAAGTTGTTTCCAATCGAGGAAGAGCTCGATCAACTTTTCGAGTTTTGAAATTTCAGGGGAAATAGAGCCGTACAGGGTTATGTTGGAGAGGTCGGTGGCGTCCCTCGATCGTCTAGAAAATAAATAACCTGGCCTGAGAGCCAGAGAAATTCTGCTAAATGCATATGCAACATCAAGATTGCCAAAAAAAAAAAGAAAAAAAAAAAAAAAAGATAGTGAGAACGAACAAAAAGGGAGGAGTATGCCGACCCATGTCGCATTTGTGGCAAGATTATGAGTATTTCGAGTTATTAGTTTTGTTGACAGTGAATTTTCCGTTTTATGAAGCAATCTTAAACGATTGTTGAAGAATGCTTGATACCGACAATTTATGGTTGGCTAGACCGAAGTGAAAGATGGAAGTCCTGCTGGTGCACATAAACTGTTTGATCGAAGATCTAGGAGAACAACAGGCTTTTGTTGGCACGTTTTATGAAAGCATAGCCGTGACTTCGTTTTATAAATCATATCTTAGCCAGACCGTACGCAACAGGTGACCCTGCGAGATAGACCCAAACCGAAGTTTGTTAAAAGGAGTGAGATAAAGACAGAGCTCATCGACCAATTGACGGATATTTGGGTTTAGAAGACTATGGCAGTCGAGCTGTACTTTGAGAAGCTGGGGCGAGCTATTACCGAGCGTAATCTCTTACTGAGACACGGGAGTAACGACATTAGCATTTGACAACACAACTATTAAATAATAATATTAAACATCAAATGGGGTGGCAAGAGGAAATCGAAATAATTCTTGAACGAGAGTTCCTCCCAATTATCGAGACAGTGAGGCAACCTGACCTCCGAGGAAGATGTTTGGGCAGAGGTCGTTCTGGCCCGTGAAAACTCATTACAGGTGAGAAGCATTACAATAATACTTGTGGAAATATGAGATAAGTTTATATTGGAGCTCGATCTTGCACGAGTTCGACGCGGTTCAGTACGAGACGAGATGGGACGACTCAACTACGCATAAAGATAAATTGGATCTCTGATTTGATTCTCATAGGATGGTGTTCAACAATTCCTGAAGAGAGGTGTGGAATAATAATTTTTCCGGGATCTTATGTCGCTTGTTAGTTCGGAGCTAACAAACACAAAATAGTCAATTGAAATTGACTCGCACGGTGTTCCAAAAGGAAAATTCCGTTGCACACTGAAAAGTCACCCAACGAAGATATAAATCGGAGGAGTGGTAGCGTATCAATATATGCCCAGAAAAAATGAAAGTTACATCTCCTCCAGATCCGAGAGCAACTTCAGCCCATATTTGTCAAACGCGAAATCTACAATGGGATTGATAGAAAATAAGAAGAGTTTAAAAGTTTCTTTACCACGAGATGAATATTTCGAAGTCGCGAGCTCAATGATCGGGCAAACCTTTCCAAGAGCTCGGTACAAATCATTCGCAAGCACCTTTTTAATATGGTTAATGTCTCAATCAATTTGAACGTAAGGAGGACTATCTATATATAAGCTCGCCATAACTCACGAAATTTCGTTGGTCTTGGAGCTCACAAATTATTTCCCTCGAGTTTCTAGAAGAGCACATCTATTTTATATAGCTCTAATTGAGCCAGTCCGACTGGACTATCCTCAACGTGATAATATTTTCAAAAGTCACTTCTTGCAGCCCAAATTTCCGGAAGCTTGGATTTATTTCTGAAACAGGGATTCTCGGGGCTCGTGTTTATTGCTTGGGCACCAACATATTACTAAATGTATTGTCGAGGAACCAACATTTACAGAGCCAATCCTCTTGAGCAACTTATGGTTGTTAAAAATTCTCCGAGATGTGAACTTATCAGAGTTCACCCTTCTTGAAGCTCGAATTTGCCTCTTACGTCTCAAATTCTGGAGGCTTGTAGTTCTCTTCTACCTCGCATTGGTCATATGAAACTCGCTCGCCATCTCGAGCATAAAGTTACGAAGGTTGAAACCTCTCCTAATCACCTCGCGAGATGAGTATGGATCCTTGTGTTTACCATTTCGAAATTGGTAAATGGTTTCGAAGATGGATTAGCTGAGCGCCACTATGCACCATAATGAGATAATTACAACATAATGAGTTGTCTTGCGCATTCTCTGCATCAAACTTGAGCTAGGATATGGCCATTCCGAGTTAAAAACAAGAAGCTCGATCCCTTGAGCTCGCCTTTGTTGGGATTTTTTTGGAGGCTCGTATTACAGCTTGCATTCCTCTCGCACAGCTCAGATATCATCCTGAATGAGCTCGACACTTAGTAAATTTTGGAAATCAACATGAGACCTATCGAACTTCTACGAGTTGACAAAGAGAAAATTTTGAAGCTCACAATCACAACTCACACCTCAAATTCATTTCTGGTAATTAGACTTTTTGTCGCTCACATTTATTACGAGAGGAGATTATGTGAGAAGAGAAGATACAAGCCATATTTTTATGTGAGGTTTCCACCTCGGCAAGAGGTCGCTACGAGTCGAGGCGATCAAGTGTTAACACCACCAGGGAGCTCTCGCTCACATTGCTCACACTTCTATGCCAATTCTCCCACAAATCCGAGCCAGATTTCGCCGGCTCGAACATTGTCATCTCGGTGCTCTCTAACCGAATCTCGCCGACCTGACGCCCGTCGAGGTAAGTCTCTCAGTCACCTTTCTCGAAGCTCGAATTTTCCTCTTGAATTTCAAATTTCGGGAAACACATTGTGGCGTTAAATCGCGTGTTTCATTGTGGCGTTAAATCGCGTGTTTCATTGTGGCGTTAAATCGCGGGTTATACTGTGGCGTTAAATCGCGGGTTATACTGTGGCGTTAAATCGCGTATTTCATTGTGGCGTTAAATCGCGTGTTTCATCGTGGCGTTAAATCGCGTGTTTCATTGTGGCGTTAAATCGCGTGTTTCATTGAGGCGTTAAATCGCGGGTTATACTGTGGCGTTAAATCGCGTATTTCATTGTGGCGTTAAATCGCGTGTTTCATTGTGGCGTTAAATCGCGGGTTATACTGTGGCGTTAAATCGCGTATTTCATTGTGGCGTTAAATCGCGTGTTTCATTGTGGCGTTAAATCGCGTGTTTCATTGAGGCGTTAAATCGCGGGTTATACTGTGGCGTTAAATCGCGTGTTTCATTGTGGCGTTAAATCGCGTGTTTCATTGTGGCGTTAAATCGCGTGTTTCATTGTGGCGTTAAATCGCGTATTTCATTGTGGCGTTAAATCGCGTGTTTCACCGTGGCGTTAAAACGCGTACTACAGTGAGGTTTAAGTCGCATTTATAAACGAGATGTTGAAACCAGGCACTAAGTTAAAATCAAAGTGAGTTATTAAAATGAATAAAAATGGCTTGCCAAGATCAGGCTAGTTGATGAACTCAACTACAAATCGAGTATGTCAATCGCTAGAGACATTCAAGCCAATACGGCGAGATAAGCACACGAGTCATACAACCAGAGAGAAAACGAGGTAAGGTGAAAAGACAACACGTGAATAATACTCCTAGTCTAAACACGACTTCTAGACTTCGGAGTAGGGGGGAGTAGTTGATACGGACCAAATTGTCCTCATGGGGTTTCCTAATCAATTATTGGACCGTGAATTGAGTTTTCACTTGTATTTGGCCCAAAGCCATATCAGGCCCAAGAAGAGGATTTAGGGCAAGCTTGCTTATCTCTTGCCCATCAAGTATCATCAACTATAAATAGGGAGTGACTCTCAACTTATTACTCCTATGCTCTCTCTTACATATCACACTCAATTATCTCTCGATAAACACTGACTTGATCGTCGGAGCTTCTACGCCGGGAAACCCCTCCCGGCGTTGCAGGTACTCCTCCGGCGGAACTTCCGGCGAGCTATCATCAAAATATCGTCCAAGGGAGACGGGTCGTCATCTCAACTATTTTGGAGCAAATCACTGGTCGAATTAAGGAATCAAGGGCTCAACCAAAACCCGAGCTCGAACTCAAATTTCTTGATGGCAAATTAAAAAATAAAAAATATATATACATTTTTCAGTGTCAAAATTCGTTATCATAAGTTTTATTTATTTCTTAATTAAATAATAACACTAAAGAATTAATTATCCATGCGTTCAAAAATGCACTCACTATAAACGAATCGGTTTGGATCATAAATTACACGAAAGAATTACATTAATCGAGGGTGCAAAATTTCAATAGGTCATCGAAGTCAAGGAGGGCTCGATCAAGCTCATCGCCTTGAAGAATTGAGATGTCTCGTGAGCTAGGGGGTAGTATAGACTTTTTTTTGTGTGCAGGGGTAAAAACGTCTTTCTACTCTTCTTTTTGCCCCGGGGCAAAAAGTTGAGGTGTAAATAAATCGAGTTCGAGCCCGTTCAAGCTTTTATGAACTACTATCAAGTTGACCAAACATCTAAGTTCCGATTTCCACGTGTCATTAAATAGCATTATTTTATTTCCTTCAAACATACTAATAACTTCATTTCATAATTTAGCATTTGAAAATACAACTCCAAAGTCACTCACTCTCACAAATACATATATACGATCACAAATGCGCTAAGACTCACCGAAAGCGCGTCCAATTTGATCTTCGGTTTTCTCAACCGGTTGAGAAAGCAAATGTTTCGTCTTCATCTTATTAATTGCGTTCGCGGGGTTCAAGCTTTTAGGACAGGTGGCGGTGCAGTTCTTTATGGTCCTGCATCTATATAATCGTGTCTCGTCTTCCGTTAACGCTTGCAAACGTTCGTCCGTAAAATCGTCGCGACTGTCATGTAGAAAGATACGAGCAATTTATGAAACCCAACAATTATTTTTAACTAATCTAAAAGTTCTCGTAAAATACCAAAGCAAAACTTAACAGGCTTTGTGGAAGAAAAAATCGGTGCCACGAGATAAAATTTATTTGCTACTCAAAAAAAAAACTGGCTTCTTGTATTCCACATTCATTTGGATTACATGTTTTCGGGTAGGATTGCAAATCGGACGCACCAGATACGAACTAGCACTTTCGGAAAAATTGGAAGTGAAAAACCAACTTCAGTTCCGTTCCAAAAAAGATGGAAAAATAAAAAATCGGAATTTTGAAATTGGATTGAAAAAAATTGGAATTTTTTTAATCGGAATCAGCGGACATCGTAAAATTCCAATTTTTTAGTCACCTAATTACATATAAAATGCATTTTATTATTGATGTTATAACTTGGAAGTGTAATTTTCAAATTCGGAATTTTCGGAAATATATATATATATATATATATATATATATATATATATATATATATATATATATATATAGAATCAAAAGCTTAAATGAAAAATATTGTTCCAAATCAGATAAATTTCATATCGGAACTAGCAAAAATTGGAGAGTACATTCCAATTTCGACCCCTAATTTTTGGGCTTTTATGACTCGGGAAGTTGTCCAATGTTTTGCTTGTTACCAATAACATATCAACAACTCTAAGCTAATCGAGAAAAAAAAAACTCAAATTCTCGGTTCCATTAGTAGCAAATAAGGTAATAATAATTTGGTAAGAGGTTATCGTACCTATCGGTAATCCAGCGGTAAGCGTGAAGTAGGGCCGCCGGTCCATGGAACTGCTCGGGATTCCACCAATAGGAAGGGCACGACGTACTGCAACAAGCACATAGTATGCACTCGTAAAGACCATCTAGCCTCTTTCTTTCAGCTATACTCTGCCTATATTCTCTCCCATCCGGTGGGGGCTTTTTCGTCTTTAGCCATGGCTCAATAGACCTGCATCGTCGCAATAAAATCAATATAATATAAACGATGACCGGGTGTTGCTAGAACCGAAAAGCAATTATTCATGGATCCATCTTACTTGTACTGCTGATAGAAATTGGTGAGGTCGACGACCAAGTCTTTGATGACGTACATATGCGGCAGGGGAGTTATTACGGTGGGCTTGCTCGTGTCGGCGTCTATCGGCTTCAGACAAGCCACCGTATTTGTACCGTCTATGTTCATTGCGCACGAACCGCATATCCCTTCTCTACACGACCTTCGGTAGCTCAAACTCGAATCCTCTTCTCCTTTTATCTTCTGCAACACATCGAGTACCTACAAACAACATTCCACGTTTCAAATATACTTATATATCAAATATTTTCCACCGACTGTTTTTTCATAAGGAATCAAACATTTCCGATTTCTGCTGATTCCGATTCGAAATTTTCTGATTTTGGAACAATATTTTTCATTTCGAATTACAAAATTACTTTAATCCGAATTGGAATATATACGAGATTCCATTTTTTTTCTTCTTCTATTTTTTTTGGAATGTAATTGGAATTTGTTTTAGCCTAATTTCGATCTCCGATCTGATCCATCCAATTTCCACTCCTAAATGTACCATATTAGAAAACTTCAAAAAGAAGAGGAATAATGAACAATAATTACACTAGAACCTCGATAAATTAATAAATAATAGTTTTTTCATGTCCAACTCAGGAGAAAATATATTAAATTAATAGTTCGATATTTTAATATTTTGCTAAATAAATAGAGTTTTGCTCCCGGTGTATTAGTATATGCAAATTAATATGAATACAACCTTGGGTTAATTGCAAATTTTTTGAACAAATTAAATACAACAAATAAAACGGTGTTGAATGCAATAAACCCGATTAATTAGGAGCTAAAAATATATATAACATAAGGGGTAATTTTGCAATTAATTAATTAACCCATAAATAATAATCCCATCAAAAAAGATAGTAAAAATGGAGGGAGAAGATTTACCATGGGCCCACATTTGGAAAGATCAACGAAGTAGGATTGCAGAAAGGGCTTCCGGTGGAGGTGATCGGGGCTCCACCTGTAAATCTTGAATTCCTTTTTCAAGTTGTTCATTTTCTCTCTCAGAGCGCCGTGCGTTTCGAGGACTTGTTCGGCGTGCCGCTGCGCGGCGGCGTGCCCTTCCAGTGTCGGAAAATGGCCGCCGCCGCTCTTCGCCGGATTCTCTATTTTTCTTACGACGGCGTCGGACACCTTCTTGTATCCATCCTTAATCCAGCTCATCTTCGACATCTTCTTACCACAACTCCCTCCTTTCACTTTCTCTCTCCTCTCTCTTTTTCTCTCTCTTACGCCTGCGTTTTTTTCTGCTGTGGCGGTGGCGGTGGATGATGGTGTAACCACAGTTTGTGGAATAGAGACACCTGGCTTGCATGTCCGAAACGTGTTTTTAATTTGGATTTTTTTTTTATGGGAAAAAATAATAATAAATAGAAGGGCAAATTGCACTTCACCCGCTTAAAAATGCCTGTTTTATACTTTCGCCCCTCAAAATAAAAAAATGAGTTCGAAATATACAACTCGGTGTACTTTACCTCAAATGTGAATTTTATGTCTAATTCTCACCGAATGAAAGGTGTATATGTCATTTTTACGTCTTTCGCTTCAGAATACTCCTTGAAAATGCACATTTGGGGCAAAGTGCTCGGAGTTATATATTCCGAATGAGAGAATTTCATTTTTCTATTTTTAGGGGCGCAGTGCAAAAATGATATTTTTTGAGGGGGCGAAATGTAATTTGGGATTAATAATTAATAAATAGAAGAAGAATAATGGGCCGAAAAATGGAAATATTTGGGCCTTCTTTATGTACTACAAGTGGTCCATAACGACTAACTGAATTGGGCTTTAGATAATATAATTTAGAATTTAATGGTAAAGAACTGAAAAATATATTTCCAAGTGTTAAAAATAATTTTAAATTACAAATTATAAATATAATATAAATTTAGTGTAAAAATTATATATTTCTAAGAAAATTTATTCCTAAAGTGTGAAAATTACATATTTTCACATATATTGTCCTTATTCCTAAAGTGTTTAAACCGGAAAAAATGACTGAGTATCGTCCCATAAGTCTTTGCAATGTTATCTATAAAATTGGTTATAAAGCTACAGCTAATAGAATCAAGAAAGTTTTGAGCGATATTATATCCCCTACCAAAAGTGCCTTCGTGCCGCAAAGACTAATTACGGATAATGTATTAGTGGCTTATGAGATTAATCACTCCATTAAAACTAACTCTCGAAAACGCTCTAATCTAATGGCTATGAAGTTAGATATTAGTAAAGCATATGATCGCATTGAGTGGTTTTTCTTGAGAAATATTATGTATAGGTTCGGTTTGTCCTATTGGTTTAATTGATCTGATTATGCTATGTGTTTCGATAGTTTCTTACGCGTGTTTGTTCAATGGATCGGAATGTGGTTCGGTAGTCCATTCGCGGGGGCTTAGGCAAGGCGACCCCCTTTCGCCATATCTTCTCATTCTTTGTACAGAGGCGCTTATAGCAATGGTGCAACTGGTGACGGAAAGCGGGCGATTGCAAGGATTTCGAGTAGCTCCGACCGCTCCAATGGTCTCGAGTTTATGTTTAGCGGATGATACACTATTTTTTTGCCAAGCAAACGAGGATAATGTTGGGAAAATCCGACAAATTCTTCATCAATATGCACGTGTTTCTGGCCAGGTGATTAACATGAAGAAATCGACAATTAGTTTATGTCTAGCTACACCACCGGAGACCCGCGAATCTATACATGCTATCTTGGAGGTTTTTCAATACTTGAGAGATAGGGTATGGGACCGAATAAATGGATAGAATTCTCAGAACATCTCTAAGGCGGGGAAAGAAATCCTAATCAAGGCGGTCGGGGTGGCATGGATAAAACGACGCATTAGGTTGCATGGAAGAAACTATGTAAACCGAAGGAAGATAATGGGCATGAGGTTTCGGGATCTTCGGAGTTTTAATCTCACTCTGTACCACAATGGGGACTTCTGGGCTGCGGTTGTGGGCCATCGCCCGTCGGCCACATGGCGAGCCATTGTTGAGGCCTGCGGCCATTTGAAAGAAGGTGTTCGGATGCGAATTGGGGATGGTACGAATACATCGGTGTGGTGCGACCCGTGGATTCTCCATGATAACTACCCGAAGCTTATCACTCCAAGGCCTGTCCACTCGGCTTTCCCTAATTCGGTAGCGGACCTTATTGACAGAAATACGGGTTCGTGGAAGATTGAGGTTCTTGATAATATTTTTTGGCTAGTAGACAAGCAATGCATTTTTACTACTCCTATTGGAGGTGCAGGAACGGCTGATCGAATTATATGGGGTTTCTCAAATTTGGGTAATTTTACGGTTAAAAGTTGTTATCATAACATTGTGAGTCGCCATAGTTTGCGGGTTGGAGATGTCTTGGTCGGCTCAAATACTGGATCACACTCTTACAACTGGAAATAACTTTGGAAACTCGACGTGCCGCCAAAAATTTGGGTATTCTTATGAAGAGCATGCATGGAAGCTTTACTGTGTAAAATTGAATTGTTTCGTCGGAGGATTGTCTCGGACCCGGTGTGCGATATTTGTGGAATAGAATCTGATTCCTTGCCACATATTTTCTTTCACTGTCATGGAGTTAGGCAGGTGTGGGAACATTTACCAATTTCTCTACCCACTAGCGACATGAATCCCTCAATTTGGAGCTGGGTGAGCAGATTGGCGCGAGAGCTTTCCGTAAAACAGTTTCACCTTGATGCAGTGGTTCTTTGCAACATTTGGGATCGCCGGAATAATAAACTGTTGCATGGTGATGAATATCGGGCATTTGGGGAAATTGTGGGATGGAGAAGCACATACATGGAATCATATCGTGAAGCTCGTTTGAGTCGGAGGCTCGTAGCGATCCCAGGCCATCTTGTGGTCTCCACCACCAATAGGGGTGATTAAAGGTAACGTTGATGCAGCTTTTCCGCAAGGTAATGATCACCATTACACATCTATGGTGGCAAAATTTTCGGTACCTTGGGTGCGTGTTATCCGCCGAGGGGGAAGCTCGGGTTGTTTTGCAAGCTACTATTATGGCGTTAAGCCTGGGATGGCCTGACATTATTATTGAGGGTGATTGTCTCCCAGTAATCGATGCGCTTAATGGCCGAAGTTCTTCACTTCATTTGGCGCTATTATTGAGGCGGCTTTAGCTCGCTCTTATCTCTTCTCTTCTATTTCCTTTTCTTTTGTAAGGCGTGGTGCCAATAAACTAACTCACCAAATTGTTTCGCGTGAGAATTTGTATTCATTAATTGAAGGGTGTAACCCTTCCTCCATTTCTGGTAATGAGTGTTTAATATAATTATGTTTTTCCCATAAAAAAAAATTTATTTGTCGAAAAAAATAAAAATATTGACCCTCGTCTTTTCAGAAAAATAAAGATAAAAAATATACTAAACAATTAGGGAAAATATGCAATACCCCCTTCAAATGGAAAATATTATGAGTAAAACTCATTTGACTTTTAAGACTTTTGCACAAACCCAAAATCCAATCTTAATTAGTGAAACCCCCTCAACAAATGTGATAAGCCGAAACTACCCTTATAGGTAGGTTTTTTTTAAAATAATTGCAATATTTATTTTCCATAACCTCTCACGTGATTGTAGGATTACATTAATTCTCTCTTTAAATCTCCATATTTCTCTCTTTCGTTATCTCTCTCTCCTCTCGTTCTCTCACAAAATTTTCGTTATCTCTCTCCTCTCGTTCTCTCACAAAATTTTCGTTATCTCTCTCATCTCATTCTCTCACAAAATTTTTTTCACGCTCCTTCCTCTCTCTCTCTCTCTCTCTCTCTCTCTCTCTCTCTCTCTCTCTCTCTCTCTCTCTCTCTCTCTCTCTCTCTCTCTCTCTCTCTCTCTATATATATATATATATATATATATATATATAAACACAATTCACCTCTGTAATTTAAAATTCTTCTGTAATTGTATGTGTTCTCTTGAATCTTTGAAGATTGTTGGAAGAATTGTTAGTCTTTGATTCAGTTACAACAGTGGCATGTAATTTGAGAACCTTTGATAAAATTCTTCAAATGCTAACTGTAAGTATATATATATATATATATATATATATATATATATATATATATATATATATATATATATATATATATATATATATATATATATATATATATATATATATATATATATATATATATATATATATATATATATATACTCATGATTTAAGATTCATACTTTGTTTATGTTTCTCAGGTGAAGTACTCAAGAGAGCCCGACAATATTGCCAAATGTAATTCATTCTTCTTCTTAATTGCATTTTATTTATTCTAGATGCAAGCCACTTGCCACAGCCGCCATCTAGGGTTACGCGTTTCCTCCTCCCAACCCCATAAATACCCCAAACACTCTTGCCTCCGCCACCTCACCACTAACCCATACCAGATTGATGCAAATAAAACAACGCCGACGAGATTTGAGGAACCCATAGCGCAATTAGGAGTGTAGTCACATTGTAGTCACATTGTAGTCACATTGGAGTCACATTGGACTCACTGTTATTGAATAAATACATACTTAATATGACTACAGTCATGGTTAATTCATATTTTTTTTCTCGAATTAATTGTCGAAAAACAAACTAATTGGAGAGAATCAACCATGTAGTCATATGTAGTCGTACATAGTCATATATAAGATGTGTAGGTTTTTATTTTTCCTAATTTACAATGATGCTGATGGTTGTTTTTAGTTGAAGAATTGATACATGTGTTTTTTCGATGTATATGTGTGACTACAAGTTGACTTGTAATAACAAGATTCAAAATTATGATTTTTTTATGTGGATGTTGATTGGATTTTTTTCGTAAATAATAGGCGATCTTCATTTTTTTAATATAATTTGGTAAACATGACTGTAATACACTATATAATCAGGTATTTAAAGTTGAAAATGCAAAAACCGACAAAATAAAGAAAGAATATGACTACAATTGATATAGTCACATACAGTCATATTAGATTATAGTCATATTCAACTACAGTCATATTCAACGTAATAAACTTGTCTGGGGAAAAATTCAATTTTTTGTTTAAAATTTTTGTAAGAAAATATTAAAAAAATAATAAAAAAATAAAAAATAAATATTGTACTCTGCAATGCTTTTAATTATTGGGTTTTGATTTGTACGTGATCAAGCATATTTTTATTCTTTTTAATTTGTTGGCTGATTTTAAGGAGATGTGATATTGTGCTGATTTTTTTTTATTTCTTTAATTAATTGACAGAATTTTGAGGAATTGGGATATTGAGTTGGAAAAAAATCACTATTATTTAGGCATTATTTAAGGAAACAAGAACCGTGCAATTATTGTGTAGAAGATTGTATAATTTTAGAAGGGTAGTATTGGAATTAATATTTATAAGGGGGTTATCACAAAGAAAGATTTGAGGGTTGGACATATCACCATTTATTATTCATCCAAGGAGTTTATTGCTAAAGGCCCCAAACAATTAATAACCAATTGTGTTAATAAAAAAAGAAAAAAAAAACAATTAATATCCACTTGGTACAAGCTTTTATTGCATTACGTGTTGACTTGGTACAAGGAATAATCAAGACCATACTTTTTATAAGACGGAGATGTATTTGTACACAATGTTTTAATTTATTTAGGCCCCGTTTGGTTGCCAAGATAAGCTAAGATTAACTAAATAGTTGGACTTAATTTGATGTTTGGTATCCTCAATAACTTGCCGGGTCGACCCGCCAAAATTATATAATCATGGCTTATCTTGCCTTATCTTGGCTTATCTTGGCTTTTATTGAGTTTTTTTTGTTGCACCTTTCAAGCTCCAATAAAATAATTGGGTCTCATTAGATTATTTAATCTTATCTTGGCTAATCTTATCTTGCCAACCAAACGAGGCCTAAGGTTATTATTTTCCATCTCTTTCTTGTTTCTATAATCAATAAAATAAATTAAGAAATAATTAAATCATGTTTTTCATCTCCGTATTAATATGCTTTCTCATATTCATACATAATACATTTGAAGCATTGCGCTTGAAATACTTAAAACGGATCAACGTTCGATTCGAGCATCAAAAACTTTCATTTGGTCTGTATCTGATACCAACGACGACAAAAAGAGAATAAAAGGGGTGAAAAAGAATTACAAAGGGAAATTGTGTAATGATTTAATGAGATGTGGGACTCTGCACAAAATTCAGAACTATAGATTGTTCATAATAACCCCTATAGAACTATATATATTAATAAAATTTTAATATATATTATTTCTTTTATTTTTTTTCTGAAAATTTATTTATTAGATTTTGGTCTGACTTGGTCAAAACTGAGGTAAAATAGTAATGATCATTTGGTGCAGGTGGCCACTCCGGGAATACAAATTCTTCTGGTTTTAACTGAAAAGGATTTTTTCTGATTATTGTTCTTCTCTTACATTCTTCTTATAATTATTACATAAACAAATTCTGAATTAAAATTTTAAAAATAAATTCAAAGAGGAAAACTAATTCTAACTAATAATTTTCCGAAAATATTCAAGAAAGTTGGAAATCAATTTTTCTTTTAATTGGAATAATTCATTGATTTCAAATTAGTGGATTATATTCAATAATCAGAACCGTCGGAAATTAAAAAATACATAGTATATATTATAAGGCCCCGTTTGGTTGCCAAGATAAGATTAGCCAAGATAAGACTAAATAATCTAATGAGATCCAATTATTTTATTGGAGCTTGAAAGGTCCAACAAAAAAAACTCATTAAAAGGCAAGATAAGCCAAGATAAGACAAGATAAGCCATGATTATATAATTTTGGCGGGTCGACCCGGCAAGTTATTGAGGATACCAAACATCAAATTAAGTCCAACTATTTAGTTAATCATGGCTTATCTTAGCAACCAAACGGGGCCTAAATGTATTATATGGAAGAAACTGAAAAAAACATTGAGGGTAATAAAATTGACAAGTCGAATTTAAATGGCAATAAATAGTTTCATTTTTTTTTTTTTTTTTATTACATGTACTAAAAGAGTTGACATTTAGTTTGTTATACTCCCTTTCCTTTTTTATTGTCGTTTTTAGCTTATGCACAAGGATTAATGATCGCAATAAATGATGCTTAATTCTAGAAAAATATATGTTTTTATACTAAAATGCCCTTGCCAATAATTAATGTGAGTGAGTGTTGGAGATAGTTAATAAGGGTAAAATTGATAATTATACAATTAATGTAGTATTGGAAATGTAAAGTGACAGATAATATAGAACAAAAATAATTTTAGAAAGAGACAGTTATTGTGAAACATGGGGAGTACTTTTTTTTTTTTTTTTTTTTTGAGCAACAGGGGGAGTACTTTACTAAAACACAATTAAACATTTATAAATTAATACAATCAAGACAAATAGAATTCTATTAATTCTGCGAAATATCAAATTACAAAACTAATAATTATGTACATTTTTACCGAATTGATCGGACACTAATAAAAAATAATTTAAGAAAATTTATCAATTTATCCAATATTAATTTTATGGAGATTATACTCTTTATATACCAACATTATTCACACATCCACCGAAAACAATTTCTCCGTACAATTTATAGGGTTGGTCTAGATATTGATAATTCACCAAAGACTTTTTAATTTTGCAGTAGCAGTCCTTCAATTTTGTACTATTATAAATCGAGCATCTATAATTTGACTAATTTTCCCATTCCATCAATAACTGATAATAAATTAATAATAGTAATAATAATAATTAATAAAATGTGAAAAGAAGGTTTTTAGTGCAAAACACAGAAGCTGAGGCCCCTCTCTCTCCTCTCTCTCTCTTTCTCTCACTTCTTTCTTCTCTCTCTAGATGAAACCCTAATCCTTTAACAGAAGATTTCCATTATTTCGTACGTGTAACTATTTTTTCAGACAAGAGTGCAATAAGAAGAAAAGGGAGAATATGGAATATTCCGGCAACAGTGGGAGCTTGCAGTCATCCAGCGGTGGTGATGAGGAGTACGAGTCACGCGCCGCCGGGTCCATCTTCATGAACAGTAGTACTACTCATCATCCAGCACCACCAACCCATGTCATCGGACCCATTTCCAACCCACCACAACCACCGTTCTTTGACCCGTTTTCCAACTATATGCAGCTCCTCCACTCGAACATGACGTGGCCTAGACCACCCGCCACGTCATTCAGATCCGACCCGAATACCATCAACCCCATGCTTTCCGCTTCTTCACACGCTCTCCGGCCGCCGCCGGCGGGCGGAGAAGGCAGTAACAACAGCGGCGTTTCAGCACCGACGGTGACGAATACGAATCAGGCCGCGGCGGCGCGTAACCCGAGGAAAAGATCGAGAGCATCCAGACGCGCGCCAACCACCGTCCTGACTACAGACACCACCAACTTCAGAGCCATGGTTCAGGAATTCACCGGCGTTCCAGCTCCGCCCTTCATCCCAAGAGGCGGCCTCGATCTTTTCGGCCCGAGATCCACCGCCTTCGAAACGCCGCCGCCGCCGCCGTATCTCCGTCGTCCCTTCTCCCAGAAAGATAATCCTCCTCCGCAGTTTCGTCCTTCCTCCACCGCCGCCGACGGCGGCGGCGGCGGCATGGGAGGCTCTTCCACTCAAAGCTGGAATCTTTTCAACGTTACAAACCCGAAATTCGTGTTCTCAAATAATTCTTCCGACAATATCGCCGGAAACCTTATTCCTCCCGACCAAACCGCCGCCGGAAATGATTCTTGTAATAAAAATACAGATAACAAGAATGCAGCAGCGGCGGAAGAAGCAGCAAGATGGAGGAATAATAATGAAGAAGGTTATAAGCCAGTGGGTGGACCCTACAACTTTCCGGCGACAACTCCGATGAACGGAAATATGAATTACTCCGGCGAGAAAGCTCCGGCGGCCGAAAACATTATCACCGCGAGAGGATTATCGGAAGGTATGGTGGAATCATGGATTTGTTCTTCTTCAGAGTAGAAAATGTCAAAATGATCATATGTCGATCGATGAAGGGTTTAATTAATTAATTATGATTAATTTAAACATTAATTAATTAATTAATTAATTAATTAATTAATTGTGGTTGAAAATTAATAATCTTGATATTTATTTAATTAATCATGATTATTTTATTTAAATTACCTCTCTTATGTAATGTACTCGTGCTTTCATCATTTTTTTTTTCATCTAAAAATCTCTATAATAATCAATTAATCATATACTGCTGAAGAAACACTGCATATTGTGATTTGTGTGTGAAAACACACACACACACACACTCATATATATATATATATATATATATATATATATAATATCATATATATATATATATATATATATATATGATAGAATTATATATATATATGCAACGGAGGGAAATTTCATCTCGTTTAACTAGTGAATTTCGTTCGTAAAACATTAACTCGTATCAAGGTTCTAAATATCGGTTATCGGGTACGAGACCGCCCCACGATAAATTGGTGCGGCGGTGATTAATTGGAGATATATCGGAAATAAATCGGTTTTCAGATTTAGTGTAATATATTTCTAAATATTATTTGTTAATACTTAAAATGTATAAAAAAATTGAACTTGATTTTCTCCTCACCGTTTATATAATCTAATAAAATAACAAAAGTTTAACATTTAGAACTTGATTCTCTCCTCATCGTTCTAAAAGTTTTTATTTTTATGTTAGGTTCTTCTTACGGGATCGGTGAGTTTGGGTTTGATTGAAAGAGATAATGGGTTGGGATTGAAAAAAAAAAAAAAAAAAAAAAAAAGATAAACATCCTATTTTTCTTATAATAAAAGATAAATAAATAAAATTAGAAAAAAAAACATATTTTTCTGATATATCACTCAAAGTTAGACCCGATATATTGGTTTGACCCGCCACAGACCGCCATAAACCGCCTCGAACCGCCTCACCATCAAAAACCCGATTTTCAAAACCGCCACACAAATATCATAAAGGTTTATGTCCGCCACCGATATGGCGGCCGATATATTTAGAACACTGACTCGTATATATATCATTCGACACAAGGTCGTATTTGATATATCTACCATGCAAGAAACTAAACTTAATTATTATATACTAATATACATCATTTTTTTTCTTCTAATTATATTTACTTAAACTTATTCGTCGGTTCTTCTTCATTTATGCATATATCTATATATTTTGTTATGCATTAAATTTCAGGTGTAACTAACAATGAAGCTCGTCTTTTATGATTTTAATGCTCTTAGTTTGCAAATTATTTAATTAATGGAAGAGATTATAAAGAAGAGTATGATCATGTTATAAATTTTTTTATTTTCTATAGAGAATAATTTCAGGTTTCTTATTAGAATAATTCAATTTATAATTTGTACGTGTCCAAATAAACCGAGTAATTAATGAAAATAATTTGTTTTAATCTAATTCAATAGTTAGTTGGTGTTTGCAAATGATTATTTAAAAGCAGAAGTTAGTAATTGTGATTTAAGTTCGTTTTAAGTGCTTATTTTTAAAAGTTGGGGGTGTTTGCAAATATTTCAGAAAATGAACTAAAATTGAAAAAGCAAGGTTAGGGGTGCTTTTAGAAAAATAGCTTAAAACAGATCATTTTAAAAGAAGTAAAAGCAAAAGTTGATTTTACAAACACCTAAAAACAGATTATGAGCAAAAAAACCGCATAATCACTTTCAAAAAACATTTGCAAACACCACCTTAATTTGAAACGGATGGAGTATATTTTATTTTTTTATCCAACTGAATTATTTGTCAAATTTAAAACAAGTTATAGGCTTTTTGGGAAATTAGAGTAGTGGGGGTGAATTAATTAACTAATTAATTAATTAATTAATTGATTAATTAATTAATTAATCTAGAAAAGATAGACATGGGAAATGTACAAAAACAGCCAAACCTACCTCAACGGCGATTATGGGCACACATGCATAGGTCACCTATCACAATCCATAGCCACCCCCACCCCCACCCCCTTTAATTTAGATTTTAGGGTTTATCAACTTTGTACTATAATTTAATTATTATAACATTTAATATTAATGTAGTATTTAATTAATTATTTATTTATTCAATTAAGGCAATATATTGCAACATGTTCTGATTTAATGAGGGCCATTCTATTTATATTATAGAAGAATTAACAAAAAAAAAAAAAATAGAATGTGCGACATTCGTCGATTCGTGTCTGAAGTTTGTTTTCGAAGCAAGTTTTTACATTCCGATTTTTAAATTTTCGATTACCAATTTCTTTAATTTTTATTTCTGAATGAATTTGAATTATATTTTCACTTCCATTTTTTTTATTTTTTAAAGTACTAATTTAGATATGATTTGTTTGGATTTTCACCTTTAAAAAATAGTCAACTATGTTATTATCCATGGCAAAGTGCAATTTCTTTACGGCAGTGTGAATTTTTAATTTAACAAAAGGTAGTTATCTTTTTCATCTACTTATTGATGGATGATAAAGCTTGTCTATTTCAATTTCATATCCCTCCCTTTTATTTTTTATTTTTTTTGAATTTTAAAATCATGATTGACAAGGAAAACAAATAAAATAATAGGATAATATAGCTATATGATCATTTCTTTTTATCTTTTTAGATTATATGTAATGATAATAATTGGATTTTGGGGAACTTTTACAGACAAAGGAGATTTTCTTTGTCTTTCTCTCCTCAGATCTTATATTTAAAAGTAATTAACGCTAGATCAATCTAAAAATTTTAATGACATATTTGTATTTTTATTTTTATTTTTTGTATCTCGTATTTTCCATAATCAAATTAAATCTGCTAATCCGCAAACAAAATCATAATCCACTGGGATAGTTGTTTTTCTTAATTTCCCATTTTCCAATTAGATTGTTACCAACATACGAATTCTATTTATATAATCTTTTGTGTCGATCGCGACTTCTTTTGTCAATAAAATGAAAATTAATTGGCCGATTGAGGCATTGGCCAATTGTGCTTGTCTGCTTAGCCAATAATATAATTGAACAAATATAAAGATATTTAAATTAAATTTTAAAATAACTATCAAAAAATATTTCAAAAAAAAAATGAATATATTATTAATTATTGTACATAATCCTATGTAGCATGTAGGTATGATGACATCTTTAGACCAAACCTAACAAATAAATAGACAAAGTCTAGCTCACATGAAATTAATTAACTAATCTAACTTAAGCAACAATTAATGCTACATGCTTGTCATCGGTTCATCATCTTGACCAAGAAATAGTGCAAATACCACATAATTCATAGTAATTTATTTATTTTTAATGTACACATATTCGATTTTCGAGGAGTAAATAAGATTCATTGGAATCTTTCGATTTTGTTATTCAATTCGTATAATTTGATCAACCATATAGATGTACTGAATAAATTTTTTTCGTAATATCGTTTGCATATAAGCATATGTTATATGATCTAAGAAGCTTAATCTAAAATTAATATTAGCAATATAATTGAAATCAATTTAATTGATCCCACCGCACTCTTTGTACCATTAACTAATTTTCAATTAAAGTTTAATTTTTCATTTACCGAGAAAGAAAAGAAAAGGGAAGGACACTTGATGTTTATTACGTCATTGCCACCTCAAGCTGACGTCATGTTTGAAAGCCCAACGGGCCCCTAAAAAGCAGGCTCGGCCCAATTGATGAGTCATAAAAATGTGCCATCATTTTCCGACAAGATGGTGGGGGCCACGTCACCCATTATAACAAAAATAGTGGGCCCCACTAACCAGAACCATTTGGCCGCCCATATCTTTGTACGGAAATTGTGACAATGACGAGTGAAGTAGCCAGAAGATATTGACCGGTTTTGCTTAATTACTTCGCTTTATTATTTTTTTTTTACAAATTATTACTTTTATTGTTTTCTAATTTCTTTTATGCAATTTACACTTTATTTTCTGTAATCGGTTCAAGTTCGAATTCCCTCATCAATGATCTTCAGTCGAGTTTATCGCACAAGGTTAGCATGTTGTATTTTATATCTTTCATATGGCTTACAAGCTATTGTACGAGAGCGTAGGTTTATTCATTGCACCTGTATAACTGACTTCGGGATTGTTCATTACCAACAATATAAAAAAAAAAAAAAAAACCTCTTATGGAACTTACAATATGCGAAAATGTTTTTGATTTATGGCTAATATGAAAATCTTCAAAAGATTATACGATATTTTTAAAATACTAGATGAAGTTCATTTTTTACCCCTCATGCCATGTCCATGTATCAATAAAACAATCCAAAATTCGGAAATGAAATCGAATCGGAAATTGGAATTTCCGATAGTTTTATATACAATTCCAATTTCATTTCAAAAAAATCAAAAAATCTAAAGTAGGGATTTCATAAATCATAATGAAAAAAGGCTTCTGAATTCGGATTTTCTCGGATCGGGATCGGCGTAATTCGAAAATTCAGTTTCGATTTCCATCACATACGGAGTATTATTTAAAAAATTTAAGAATTATACTTGTCGAGAAGTGGGGTTAAAGTTTGAAAAATCCAAAATAATTATTGGGCAAATATGCAATCAAATTGGACGTGGTAATTTTTCGGTAATTAGGTTCTTGACCCAAATCAGCCCATATATAAGGCCTCGAGCCCATTTGGTTTGACCCGTCCATATTTAATTTGTGTAAATTACAAACACCACCCTGAGGTAAAGTTCAATTACACAAGACCCTTATATGTTTCGTGAAATTACATCCAGACCCTTAAAGTTTATAAAAGTTTTAGATCCAACCCTATGAAAAGGTTTAATATATAAAAATCTACAAATTTCAGGGCTTATATGTAATTATGAAAAATAAGGGTCTTTTTGTAAATAAAATTTAGATGAGGATGGTGGTTGTAATAAACCCTTTTATTTAATTCTTCCAGCCTATTACTAATTGAAATGAAATGTTGACAATTGCTGTTGTATCCTTGTTTTTTTATTTAAATTTAATTTTAGTTTAGTTTTATTTTCAAATATTTTATGATATTTTTCTATTTATTTTTTCTACTTATTTGCTAAATATAACTCCAAAAACATTGGAATAAAAATACAATATTCCTTCTTTAAGACAATCTTTACCTAAAACAGTGCGACACATGTGAATCCGCCATTGCTTACAACTCAAGCACAAATAGACGCCACGTCACTATTCCCTCTCTCTCTCTCTCTTAGTCAACGCCGCCGCACGCCGCCGAGCTCAGCCGCGAGATCCGCCGATGGAAGCAACAAATTGATGAAAATGAAGATGCTGAGAGAGATGAGATCGGGTACGGTGACCCTTATTCTAGTCAACTTAGCAGGAATAATGGAAAGGGCCGACGAATCTCTGCTGCCGGGCGTGTACAAAGAAGTCGGGGCGGCGCTGCACGCGAGCCCCACGCGCCTCGGCTCCCTCACTCTCTTCAGATCTATTGTCCAGTCTTCGTGCTACCCACTCGCGGCCTATCTCTCCGTCCGCCACAACCGCACCCACGTCATCGCCCTCGGCGCCCTTCTCTGGGCCGCCGCCACTTTCCTCGTCGCCATTTCCTCCACTTTCACCGAGGTAATTTATTTATTATTTTTAAATTTTTTATTGTTTATCCTATAGTAATTAATTGCTGATTTTTCACTGAATAATAACCTAATAGAGGTTATTGTAATTAATTAATATAGGATAAACAGCTAAACCTCTATAAATTTATAAATTAATACAATTAGAACTAACAAAATTCTATTAATTTAGTGAAATATTAAATTATCGATTAAATAATTTAGCAAGTTTTTATCGAGTCAGGACCAAAAAAATCTATTATTTCAGCGAGGTTATTAATTTATGAAGATTTCACTGTATTTAATAACATATTCTACATCGAATTGGTAAAAAACTCTCCGTATTATTAATATTACCAAAAGCACCCCTACAATGAATTTATTTTAGCACACAACCCTCTAAATAGTGGTTTTTCTGAGCTTAATTTGCTAAAAAGAATTGAATTATAGGGATAATTTTTGCTAATAAAAATAATTTGCGTAGTTTTTATTAACAATTAGAATAAACAAAGGGGCTAAAAAAAATGAATCATAGGGGTTATTTTTGCTAATAAAAATAACACGAGTAGTTTTCTTAAACAAATATTTATATGCGTGCGATTTTGTGTAGATCTACGGTATATCATAGTTATTATAAAGTTATTGCATCTTGTACCATAATATATAGGTGGCAATATCAAGGGGTCTGAATGGAATTGGACTAGCCATTGTGACACCAGCAATTCAATCCCTAGTTGCCGACTCAACCGACGACAGTAACCGAGGCACTGCTTTCGGTTGGCTACAGTTGACCGGAAACCTAGGGTCAATCATCGGCGGACTAATCTCCGTCCTAATAGCCTCCACCACATTCATGGGAATCCCCGGTTGGAGAATCGCTTTCCACATAGTCGGATTATTAAGCGTCATAATCGGCATTTTGGTCCGTCTATTCGCAAACGACCCCCGTTTCGTCGATAGCGACGGCCAGAAAAGGGAACAACCTCCGCACAAACCGTTGAAAGAGGAAGTGAAGGGTTTAATTAAAGAGGCGAAAGCGGTTATAAAAATCCCTTCTTTTCAAATACTCGTGGCGCAAGGAGTTTCTGGATCTTTCCCTTGGTCTTCGCTCTCGTTCGCCCCCATGTGGCTCGAGCTTATGGGATTCTCGCACGAGAAAACGGCGGTGATCTGGACGATGTTTAATGTCGCAGGGTCCATCGGGGGACTTTTTGGCGGGAAAATGGGGGATGTTCTTGCCAAACGGTTCCCGAATGGCGGGAGGATTATTTTATCGCAGATAAGCTCGGGTTCGGCTATTCCTTTGGCGGCGATTTTGATGCTCGGATTGCCCGACGATCCTTCGAGTGCTGCAGTGCACGGTTTTGTGTTTTTTGTTATGGGGTTCTTCATCTCTTGGAATGCTCCTGCAACTAACAAGTAAGTTGTTTTTTTTTTTAGATTTTTATTTAATTTCATCTTCTTGATCAAAATACAATTAAACCTCTATAAATTAATACAGTCGGGACTGGGAAATTCTATTAATTTAGCGAATTATTAAATTAACGAGTTAATAATTTAACACGTTTTCAACAAGTCGGGACGGAGAGAAACTATTATTTAATCGAGGTTATTAATTTATCGAGGTTCTACTGTAACACTCAAAATTATCTATTATATTTACCCCAACTTTATTCGATGAAATGGAGATAACGATTCTTTAACCCTTTTATCTTTTTTAAGCGCATTACAGTAACGGTTTTTTCTTTCGATTTTTCCCGCAGTCCGATATTCGCGGAAATAGTCCCGGAGAGAGCTCGAACGAGCATCTACGCGTTGGATAGGTCATTCGAGTCGATACTATCTTCGTTCGCTCCGCCAATAGTCGGAATATTAGCCCAACACGTGTACGGATACAAACCCCTCCAAAAGGGATCGACAGACTCGAAAAAAATCGAAACCGATAGAGAAAACGCCGCGTCTCTCGGTAAAGCGCTATACACCGCAATAGGCATACCTATGGCTATTTGTTGCGGTTTCTACTCGTTTCTCTATTGCACGTACCCGAGGGATAGAGATCGAGCGAGGATGGACGCTCTTATAGCGTCGGAAATGGAGATGATTGATACGGAAGAGGAAAGTCATCTTCGGGTATCGGAGTATTTGGATCGTGGGAAAGAGATTAGTATTAGTGAGGTAATTGATGTGGATTATGAAGGAGACTATGATTATAATGGTGGGAACTTGGAGTTTGATGAAAACGACGAGGAGAAGCTTTTGTCTCGTGATCTTACATCCTCGGACGTCGACAAATCGTAGTTTCGATCTGATTCGAGACCTGTTTAGAAACTCCATTGATGGTGGTCTTATTTTTGTAAACATACAATGATATATTACTCTATTAAAATCACACGAACAATATATATTACATTATAAATATTCACTTTTTTTTTTTGTTTCTTCTTTTCTGTTTTCTTTTCTTTTTTATTATTTATATAAGTTAAGTAGGATTTAATTCAATTTCTATCTTTATTTTATTTGGGAGGGAGGGATTTCTATGTTACACCGGATGATTCACTACAGGTGTTAATTAACCGTAAATTTGCACATAATCACACACACACCCATGTGTATGTGCGCTTAGTGGATGGTCATTTAATCTCATATACGGTTAACAATCACCCGATGTAGCATATAACTTCCCAGGACAGAGAAAGGGACGTTTTGCGGGTGGTCAAATAGGTTTTGAGGGAAGAAGGCTTGTTGCTTCTGCTTCGTTAGGGTTTTTGGAGGTTTGCGAACAAACCCTTTTCCTCATTTGGTTCGGCAACAATTTGTTGTCAACCGTTCAAATGAAGGAATAATTGGCAATTGCCATTCTCGGCGATTTCTCACGCACCGTCCAACCAAATATCGCAACGTGCACGCTGACCCAGCCCAGTCACTTGCACTTGTGGTGTCGATCGGCCACCCCAGGAGCGCCACGTCAATTCCTCATGCCACCTCTCCGGTTCACGGGCTACCGGGGTCTTCATCAAATGCCCGAGTTTCGTCCTAATTGTTTCGATTTTTTTTAGCTTCCCAACTAGCACGAGTCCATTTTGATTGTGATTTAATTACTGATTTAAATGTGCCTAATAAAAAAAATGAAGATTGTTAATTGTGATTTAATTCCAATTTTTTTTTTAAATTCCGCTGTGATGAAAAAAGAAATGCAGATTTTTAATTGGGGCCACCGATTAACGTGAGTGGGACCCACAAATGTTTATTACATGTGTTATGATGAACTCTATTATTTGGAGCAAAAAGATGCCTCCCATATGGGAAAGATCCACAATAATGCTCATTTACTTGGGACTTCGTAGTCAAATATTTCAACTAAGTCTCTTAGATCTTACATAACCTTGACCATAAAAGATATAGAAATACGAGAAATGATACGAGAAACGTAAACTACAGAAAATTTGGAGTTTGATGATTTTGAGTCAATCGCTAGACCATCCCTCACGGAAGGCAACATAAAATTAAATCCACGATGTGTATATTAGTCCCTTATTCTTATGGATTGAATGCGATTAGTTTCTTCTAAGAGTTAATCGAATCATAAAAATATAAATAAATAAAAAGGTCATGTTTCTAATTGATATAAATTTATTTACTTGCACCAAAAGACGAAATTTCTCGCGCCTTAGGACCCCATTCCCTGATCCGATAGGTTTTTTATAAAAGAATGTTAATCATGGTAACTTAACAGCCCGATAGGATTGCGGATTTGAGCCTGGTCACGCAAGGAACCAATCTTCGTCGGAGTTGAAACTTCTACACTGTAGTTACTAGTACTCGACTCGAAGACCCTGTCACTAACTTACCACCCGAAACCTGTTGACTATACCAATGCGGTCAATCAATCACTAGATCATTTACTTTGACTTATATAACGATTGAAGTCAACAAAATCAAAGGGGACTGATCTTGGACGAATAAAATAGCATGTCAATATGTAGATACCAACCTAATTATCATATATATGCAAATTTTGTCAACTCAACTTAATATTTTTTAACACAAGTATTGTATTATCCAATTTAATAAGTTCCATGCCATGCATCATATGGCAATGATTACTACTGCCTGAATATTATTGATTGTTCTATACATGCAAAATATAGTGATCATCATATTTAAGATACACCAAATTATATATATATATATATATATATATATATATATATATATATATATATATATATATATATATATATATATATATATATATATATATATATATATATATATATATATATATATATATATATATATATATATATATATATATATATATATATATATATATATATATATATATATATATATATATATATATATATATATATATATATATATATATA